CTTTAAAGCAGTGCCATCATTTTGAATTTTTTATCATTTACTTATTATGCTTCATTAAGTACTTATACAAAATTTTATTAAAATAAAACCATTTAAACTGGGTGTTCGGATTTATATGTCACTTAGTATAATAACTAGGGAGTACAAACACACAAAGCAATTTTAATTGCAACGAAATTTTCGTTTTCGTCAAAAATTAATAAATTGCAACGTGCTCATAACGCCTACGTGGGGATTTTCGGTAAAAACAAAATTAATAAATATTTGTAACCGTCAAATTGGCCTTCAGTCTGACATCACACCGTTTCGTTAACGGGTCAAACTTTTGGGTTAAAAACGTGGGTAGAAGTTATAGCACAGTCAAAATGTTCAGTACATTATACAAGTAGTTTTGGTATCAGGCGCCTACCATATATTGATAGTTTTAACTAAACTCCACATTTACAAGGCTTGAAAGTGTGACTATGGTAAAAATTGGAAGCAGAACTCAATAAACAAAAACCAGTAAACAAATATTCTTCAAGATGATTCCATCGCTATAAGTTTTTTCAGCGCAGAACTGCATGATACCGTCTTCTTTAGTTAGTTATTTGGCCATCTGCCTCATTACTATCAAATGGTTGGATTGCTAAAAATCATCAATGTGCAAATGAACATTTCAGCTGCACTTTACTACACCACTTTTATAGGTATTATAACTGATCTGTTTCTCGTTATTCGCATATTAAGAGGTGTTTGTCAGCGAAACAAACCACTGTTGGTGGTTGGTGGTAGAGGGCGTTCCTAGCTAACGAATGAGCGGCTGGTCAGTTGTCTCCGAGCACTTGGAGAGCCAGGACAGGCATTTTCGCGCGACATGTTTCTGTGAGTGAGAAAATGCAGCGTTCGTTAGAGCAGAGGTACGCACATCGACGCAGAAGGAGCCTATTTTGAAAGTTTTTAAAGAATTGTAACGATTGGCTCAATAATTTTTTTTAAATCGACTCAGTCCTGTTACTTTCCGGACGAACCCTGTATGTCTGATTTAAGGTGATATTATTCCCAATGTTCATGTATCAATGTTATTGACTCAAAATGGTGACCTTAAAAGATCAAACGATGTGAACTATCCTGTTAGGAAATAAATCAGGTTGCACAACTCACTTTGAGAAATATGTTTTCTTAAAGGTGAATAACCGAATTACGAACGTTTTTTCCTGAATGAATATGTTGGTCGACAGAAAACCAATGCGGTTTCTAATGAATTATTCACTTTGCTATCAAAAAATCCCCGGATATATCGAATATATAGGGAATTTACAATTAATCCCAATGATATGCTTTAATTTTGTTGCTATGGAGAATATCTCAAAAATGTAGCAACTGAAACTTATCCTGTGGTTTCGTTACTGACAAAGACCATTAGTCTAATGAAAAACACGATATCTCATTCTTTGTTGTCAAATAAAAAGTTTTCCCGCAAAGATTGATGTACCTATTTTATGCGTCCATATTTTGAATACCCCCTTGACCAACTTGCATCAATAAAACCAAACTTTACATTTATTCCGGAAGCCAGGGGTATTTTCATCTATGATTAGATCAATAATTGAACCAGTTCATGATTCCTCAAAGCTAGGTAAGAGAAATACAGTGGACCTCCGGTAATCCGACAAACATTATGCAGGGCACTGTCGGACTGTCGAATTTGTCGGATTATAGAGCACTGCCTAAGAGTCCCGGAATTTTTTACAAAAGAGTACCTTGTAATCCGTCAAATTATATATCCAATGGTAAAATTATATAATATGTTATGTATATGTATGTGCTTTGAAGTACAAATCATACATAGTTTATGTATGTCGAATTTAGTAAATTAAATAACAATAGAGAGCTTAAGTTTTATTATAAAATTAAGCATAAATGCACATACATGTGTATGGTAATTATATCTGAAGTCACTTGAAATAGCATAAAAACCTTTGGTCGGCGCGTCCTTTGTAATTTCATGACGTATCATAGGCGTGCGGTGATTTATTTAGAACGATAATAATAATGTTTTTATATCACAATAAATGCATTTTACTATCTTCTTATTTTTTTGATTTGAGATAAAAAATACTTATATTGGGAGTTTAATTTATGTTGACTGAAAGTTAAGAAATGGAAAAATTACAGAATTACAACTTTTGACATAGGCAAATATTTACATAGCAGGTAGGTATATAAAAAGGTATATAAAGACTTACATTATAGGTATTTATATATCATCCTCGCCTTCGGAACTGTCGCTAGAGTCATCTTGTAGAGGAATTACAACGGGATTTTCAGGAGGCAAAACACAATATTCATTTTCTTTTTCAATAATATGCCTAGAACACTGCTTCCATAGGTCTGTGGGGCAGCAATATGAGATACTGCATCTCTTATTGTGGCCAATAGCGATTCACTTAATGGAGGGGTCTGATTATGTTTTCTTACTTTTTTTTTAAAGCAGCCCAGACCAACTCAATCGGGTTAAAAATGCAGTAATAGGGAGGTAGACGTAATACTTCATGGCCATTTTGCTGAAGCACATTGTTAACAACATACTCTTTTTCAAATTTTTGTCTTTTAATAAGATCCAATAATATGGCTTTGGTTGATTTTTGTGGTATTTCCATTCGCTTATCCTTCATAAAATCAATAATGTCTTATTTTTTTGTGCCTGTATTCGGAATTTTGTTTTTCTGTCGGGAATGGTATGGAGCATTGTCCATAATAATCACTGAATTTGGGGAAATGTTTGGTATTAACTGGTGCTCTACCCACTTTTCAAATAAGTCGGAGGTCATGTCCTCATGATAGTCGGCACATGATTCTTTGATATTTTTGGCAGATAACAGCAAGGCATTAGGTATAAATCCATTTTCACTGTCAGCATGGAGAATAATGATTCGTTTTCCACGGTTGCATGGTGCATTTAAAATGCACTTGTTGCTGTCGTCAACCTAGCCGTACTGCACAATATCATGAGTATCAAACCACGTTTCATCCAGGTAAATCAGATTTCTTTTCTGCTCTCTATAGATTTTAACTTTGTGCAAAAATTCTTGGCGCAATTCAACGATTCGAGACGACTCCATAATCACCATTCTTTTATCTAATTTTTTGTATTGAAAACCACACAGTTTTACAATACAGTGCAGTGAGTCTAAGCATTTGTAATTATAAAAATCTTCAGGATAATCTTTTAATTTATCCCGTATCATTTCCAACGTGGGCACCAAATTTTCTTTATAAAATCCGTATATTATACGACGAATATCTTCCTGAAAACCCACGTCTA